ACTGGAGGCCTGCCTTGGGGAAGCTAGACCCGCTCGCCCTGACCCGGGACTGGGGCCGCCAAAGGGGAGTGTGGCGCCCCGTATGGCGAAGGTTTAAATTTAAAATATCTAAAAGGAGAAGCATTCTTTCGATGCAATTTCTTCTTTACTTTGTCCGGCAAGGTCTAATGCATATTTGAGCATAATTTCAGCCAAAATGGACATCACTAACCCCCGTTTTGGCCGCAATTTAGCTTTTAAACTTAAAAATTAAATATAAATTTTTTAAAAGCCTATTTTGAAAAAAACGCTTCTTCCTCACCTTCATTTATATCAAGTCGATATATGTGGAAAATTTCAGCCCAAACGGACCATGGGAAGGCACTTTTTGACGACTACAAAGGTTTTTGCGTATGCACAGACATACATACAAACAAACGCAGACCCCCCCCCCCCTCGAAACGCAACTTAAATCGGTTGTTAAAATTCGAAATTTAACTTTTTTTTCACATTTTAAAAGCTTATAATATGCAAAAAGTGTCGCCGGTTCCGATGGTGTATTCAGTTTTGCGATCCAATGCGTGGTTCTTTTTTAAATCCGGAAAAGGACCCCAAAAGAGTCGTATGGGGGGGGGTACCTCAAACCAAAAGGGGTTAGCGGGCTACGCCCGCTACCCCCGACTTTGCATAATTCCACCCGACTCCCGCTGAAAAAAGTGAAACATGCGCTCTCTGCTCCTTTAAATCAGCTACTGCCACTTCCGGTGTATGCTAATTGGTTCCTAACAAAGAGGGTCTCGGATTTTTCAACAAAAATTGAATATTAATGTCGAAAATAGGCGATTTTGGCAAATCTGGTATGCGTGCAGTCATCTCCAGATCGTTACGCACCTATTGACGTATCAAACATGCCCCTAGCTACTCTCCTTCTTGAGTTACTGCTGGAACACGCTGACGGAAGTTGCATGCAAAGTGGCACACACACACACAGACACTATTTTTTTATATATAGTAGGATAGTAGGATTATTGTAGGCTCAAATTAAAACTCTTAGTATATTTTTCGACGCTCTATCGAATGGCGTTGCAAAAATCCCGACAAAATAAGCGAAAATACCGACAACTTTAGATCCTTCGGCTGTGGGGTAAAGTAAACTCTTATCGGCTGACGTTTTATAGATTTACCAGCGCCCAAAACCCGCTTCGCGGGCCTTGGGCGCTGGAATGCGGCCTTTGCATGAGAAATTTGACTTTCTGGGAGCTTGGGTCCTTCGGACCCTTCCCTTCCTCCGACCACACCCGCGCGCGCAACTTGCAAGAATCAGGAATTTGTATTTTTTGAAATTATGCAAAGTAGCCCTCCCTGGCGCCGGACACACACACACACACACACACACACACACACACACACACACACACACACACACACACACACACACACACACACACACACACACACACACACACACACACACACACACACACACACACACACACACACACACACACACACACACACACACACACACACACACACACACACACACACACACACACACACACACACACACACACACACACACACACACACACACATACCACACACACACACACACACACACACACACACACACACACACACACACACACACACACACACACACACACACACACACACACACACACACACACGCCACACACACACACACACACACACACACACACACACACACACACACACACACACACACACACACACACACACACACACACACACACACACACACACACACACACACACACACACACACACACACACACACACACACACACACACACACACACACACACACACACACACACACACACACACACACACACACACACACACACACACACACACACACACACACACACACACACACACACACACACACACACACACACACACACACACACACACACACACACACACACACACACACACACACACACACACACACACACACACACACACACACACACACACACACACACACACACACACACACACACACACACACACACACACACACACACACACACACACACACACACACACACACACACACACACACACACACACACACACACACACACACACACACACACACACACACACACACACACACACACACACACACACACACACACACACACACACACACACACACACACACACACACACACACACACACACACACACACACACACACACACACACACACACACACACACACACACACACACACACACACACACACACACACACACACACACACACACACACACACACACACACACACACACACACACACACACACACACACACACACACACACACACACACACACACACACACACACACACACACACACACACACACAGAGATATACCCCAAAATTATATAAGGTAGGATTTGTGTCGGATATGGGGATTATTTTGTCTGCGATGGCTGAGTACATGAGAATTATTTTAGCTTATCGCGTTCGGTATGGCGAAGCTAAAATCAAAACAAAACTAGGAAGCGGGAAAAGACAAAATATGGTGTAACGACATTGTGTGTGGAAAATGTGAAGAGGGGGGGGACCCTTGGGAAAAAATTGGTTTTAAAAAGAACTATACTAGTAGTTGAGTGATAGTTGGGGAGGAAAACGTGGCTGAACTTTAGACGGAATCGAAAAGCTGCAAAAACCGGCTTAGAAAAATGTCTAAAATGTCAAAAAAATGTCTCTTTAAAACTGGTAGCCCAGCATTCGCAAAAGAGTCGCGTAAAAAACGTAGTCCAAATTTTAGCAAACGCGCATGAACAAGGTACACATTAGCTAAAAACCTTCCGTGCAAAACTGCCTTATTTTTATTTTTAAAAAGGGCATTAAAATTAAATGAGCTCCAACAATTCGGCACGCCAATTTACGCTTGAGTCCCAAGTTTCCTACATCAAAATTCTGCTTTTAAAGGCATCGATGACCGTTAAAAAATCACCTCCACATTGTCGGCCATCAGAATATTGTCAACTTTCCGGTAGCATGCAAACACATTCAATAAATGCGGAACGGCCCCCTGGATTAATTGCCGGATGGCCGGAAATCGGCGCCCACAGGCTTTCGACAAAAAGTTGCTCGCAAAAACCGTCCCGCCATTTCGTTTTGGGTGCTTGCAAAAAGTTAGTGAATGGTTGGAATTTCGCTTGACGAAAAGGGGTTGGGAGAAATTAAGAAAATCACGAAAATTCTCCAAAAAGTCTAAAAAACCTCCAAATGATTTTCAAATTATACTATTTATTCCGAAATCGCCTCAAAACAAATCCGAAAAGATCTTTGCTAGTTTGACTGCGGAGACCAAAAATTGCATAAATGCGTTTCTTTCTCATTCTGCCACGCATCCCTGAAAGAGCGGTATTTTTTGCGTAATTTGACAATACAAACACCTTCATTTTATTTATCTCTAACGCTCGATTCTCCAGTGGCTGGAAGTATTATTTTTGGGATTACCCGTTGTTGTCCAAGTATAGTAGCTCGCGTTTCCTTGGAAATGAAAACGAAAAACCTAAAAAAGACATTGGCATAAAAAGCAGAAGCGTTTAACTTGAGCCTAAACTCCAAAGCATGGAGGTTACCAAAACGGGAAGAAGTTGGCAAAATCAATAAACAATGGCGAGAATTCGAAAAATATCCAAAGCGCGTCGCTCGAAAATTGGCTAGTGATCAACTGTAAAGAATATTTTTGATTTCCTGAGATTCCGCAAAGCGTCTCTGCCGGTTTCAACCAACTGGAAGCTTGAATGTGTTTGCGTGCTACCGGAAAGTTGACGAGATTCTGATGGCCGACAATGTGGAGGTGATTTTTTAACGGTCATTGATACCTTGAAAAATTGGGATTTTCACGTTAGAGAGTTAGATAGTCAGCGAGAGTGAGATAAAGCGCGTGAGAGGAGAGATAGAGCGGGGGGAGGCGAAGGGAAATATTGCGAATCCAGCGTGATCTTACCCTCAGGTCAGATATTTTTCCTGGTTGCAGACCACTAACAATAAACCTAGCTACAGTGGCGGACAAAAGTTTCCAACATTTAGTTTTTTGGCTCTATTTTGCCGATTTGGTGTGGAAATGTTCCCTAAATCGCGTTCATAGCAGAATTCGACGTGCTTTTTTACCTGCAACACGCTTAAGACCACAAATCAGCAAAACAAAAAAGTTTTATAAAATTCTCAAAAATGTCGATGACAAAAGTTTCCAAGTTTGTCTTTTTGCGCTCTATCGGGCCTTATATCGATATTCCGACAAAAATTATAATTTGGAGAGCTAGAAGCCAAAATGTCGAATTCCCATATCAAAATCCATGTTTCTGAAAAATTCCCGAGAGTTGTAGGAATTAACCTGCAACCATGAATGCTTGAAAACAATTATGTTAAACGATTTGGCATCAATATCCCACTCTAGAGGACGCCATTCATTTCCCCGGAGCTTTTAAAGAAAAATGCTGGAAACTTTTGTCATCGACATTTTTGAGAATTTTATAAAACTTTTTTGTTTTGCTGATTTGTGGTCTTAAGCGTGTTGCAGGTAAAAAAGCACGTCGAATTCTGCTATGAATGCGATCTAGGGATAATTCCACACCAAATCGGCAAAATAGAGCCAAAAAACTAAATGTTGGAAACTTTTGTCCGCCACTGTATAAAACCATATGGCTCGTTTCCGTAATTTATGCAGTGTCTCTTGCAATGTTCTATTTCCGATTGTTTTTGCATGGCTACTTGGTCCGCTTTTCTTCTCGAATATATTCTGAAAATTAACCTTTTTCGCCACTTTTCTATCAGGTTACTGTTTTTAGAGTGTTTGGCTCACTTGCATGAATCAGTGGAGCAATTTCGACTCCCAAGATTTTGTGAAATGACCTGTGGTTTTAGAGAATCGCGGGAATGATTTTATTCCCAATTTTTGTGACGTTTTGCAGAAGTCGGAGATCCAAGACGCTCCGGTTCAGGCCTAAATTTGAGAGTTCAAAATTAATTCAAGTTTTTGGTTACCTGGAGGTAACAGTTTCCACCGCTCAACGTGGTACCGGGCGGGCAGAGCCCTCCGAGGGAGGCTAAAAGATGTTTTTAATATTTTTCTGTAGAGCTGTAATTGGTTTCGCTGGCTTTACGTTCAGAATTCTCAAAAAGCGCTTTAATGTGTCTCATCTTTGAACGGCGGATGAAACTTACGTCCAACAATTGTGCCAAGGGATTGCACACAGGTCTTTCCGGAGAGCTTGCAGCCGGGTGGGCAGGTTCCGGCGACGGCCGCTGAAAAAAAGAGTAAGCTAGCCTTTTCCATCGGTTTAATTTAATCTCTGATTTTGCCATGCCGCTATACAAAATTTTTTAAGGTACGATATCACGTTGCAGACCTAGAAATTATGCTAAACTTACGTCCACAGGCGCTGGCGGCGAAGGCGGCGGCAATCAGCTGAAAAAATACGGATTTTTAGGTGTTTAGGGGCCTAATGGATCAAAAAGCACCATATGCTGAGGGAACCCGGAAAGTTTCCAAAACCGGGCCACTTTTGCCTTCCCAGCCCCTTTAAAACGAATGAAAACCTTGATCGAAAATTACCATGAAGAAGAAGACGAAGAATTTCATGTCTGTGGCTTAGTGGGCTGGCTGAATTGATGTCTTCAAAGCCGCAAAATTCCGCTTAAATACACCACAATTTGGGCCGCTTAAACCTGGTTTATTTGCACAGGATGAGGCGGGGGAGTAAGCGGCAGAGGATGAGGATTGGAGCACATTCTGCAAGCTTTCATGATCGCCCCCAAAAAAGCCTGTAAAGGTCTGGGATTTGGCACGGAGCGGCCACGCGTCGAATTTGCTGTTTTGCGGGGTTTTGTGGTTTCTAAACACGACTGAATTTCGATTCGATTCGAGCCCCAATTCGTTCTCGTTTCCTTAATTTCCAGATTCGATATCTAACCATCGACGGAATTAAGTGTTCAGTTGCGCCCACACTGCCGTGTCACGGCAAAATCGAAACAGTTACATGCAATCTACACAATTTACACGAAATCGAAATTTACATGCGAAAAAATTTGAATCTCGGAACAGCTCAATCTCGGACTGTTCCGAATCTCGGAACAGTCGGAACAGCCAAATCTCGGAACGTTCCGAATCTCGGAACAGTCGGAACAATATGAATCACGGAACAACCGCATCATTTGAATCTCGGAACAGCCGGAACACGCGAATCTCGGAACGTTCCGACCAGTATTTGTTCCGAAAGTTCCGAATCTCGGTCTGTTCCGAGAAACAACCCTAGTCAATAGTGATGCCCCGTATTGGGCAAAGGCCCTCTTGGGTTCGGGGCGCCTCTGAATCCCTTCCCCACTCGACCCTATGGTATAGTGGCTAGCGCGTTGGACTGTGGGTCGAACCATCGCGGGTTCGACCCCGCCCGGTGCGCAACCTTCTTACTATCAACGGAATTTCATCGTTCTAACGATCTTTAAAGGGCTGCCGACGGCATGTGACGACCCCCCAAACAACAAATTGGCAAGTAGCCAACAGGGCAGAGAGCGCGCCCTGGGCAGAGAGGCATTTGCTTTCCAGCGCGTAACCGATTGACTATGCCGTCGGCATCCCTTTAATTACGTCCCAAGATCTCTATCCCAGTTTCGAATGCGTTGCGTCTCGCGAGAGCGGGGAAATTAAAGTATCTCAAGACGGTAAAATTCAAAACCTTGCCTTCTCCGGCCCCTTAAACCCAGGTTACATACGGTGCAACAACACGAAGAACACGTCTGAACATTTTTTTGCAACGTGGTTTGCGTATTCCGACGGCGAGCCAAGGTTTCTTGTTTTATCGCCTCGGGTTTTTCAACGTCGCCAAGGCCCTCAAAAATTTTTTTTTAAACTCTAAATATTTGTGTTCGTTGATTCTGGACTTTGCTGCGTTACTTAAAGCAAAGTTTGGACTCTGCTCTCGCACGGAATTCCACAAAAATGTGAAACATTTTCCGGCAGAAAATTCTGGACCCAAAAGGGCTGACGAGGCTGTGTCAATAGAAGCAGCAAATTATCGAAAACGCTGCAAATGGTAGCAAAAACTAAAGGGCAAAAATTTTTCAGATTTGAACAATTTCATAAATGCCCATATTAAAAAGACGACGTCAGCAGGAATTTGAATCCTCCGAAAAGGCATTACTAAACCTCGGGGACCAGTTGCAACGCAAACAAAAATAATTTGTGTTAGCATCTTAAAAATGGTTAAATGAATGTCTTCCAAATTTACATGTATTTACGAATGCATAGTTTTCCGATCTGCAAACATGCAGAAAATCACTCTTCTGCCCGCCCCGCGGTAACTACTCGGCGACGATGCGGCACATCGGTGTGAACCCGGAGCTGCAGAATCGGCTGCCCCGATTCTACAGCCAGATCACCAACAACAAGGTTTGTCTTCTCTCTCTCTCTCTCTCGCCCTTGCTTTCTCGCTCTCTCTCTCTCTCTCTCTCTCTCTCTCTCCCGCCTAACATTCGTTTTTCAGTGGTTCACGCTCAACGACGTGGTGAAGCGGATCGACTTCTTCGACGTCATCTACCTCTACTTGGTGTTTGGGCTGACCGTCACACTCGTGTTCTGGATTCGGTATATGCAGTTGAGGTAAGGAGAGAGAGAGAGAGAGAGAGAGAGAGAAGGAGAGAGCGAGGGTGTGAAAGCGCGATCAAGGATCTTTTCAGGATGCGCTTCATCCACAACGAGGACGTCGAGTTCTGGCGCCAGCGGCTGGCCCAGCAGCTCAAAATGGTGAGCACCAGCTCGTGCTCAATTTGAAATGTTTGTTTTCAGGCCGAGCAGCGCGGGAAGGCGAAGGGCACGACTGCTGTCATTCAGCCGGCGAAGAAGAGCGAGACGGAGACGAAGGGATCGAGTGAGGACGGAGGGGTACGGCCGCACGTCTCCAAGAAGGTCATTCCCGAGAAAATGCCGAGTGCCGCAAAGGTATGCTTTTTACACGACGTTTCAGGAATTTTCAGAATTGCGTATCATAGATACCTTTTCAGGTCAAGAAGGAGGAAATCGACCCCGGCGACGACAAGAAGGCGGCGCTGCCCAGGGCCAAACGCGGAAATCGTGTCGAGTTACTTGCCGAGCAGGTTGGTCATCTACCGCTTAGTTTACGGGCTGAATCTTAGGAGCGGATGATCGACGACCTGCCGGAGACGGTGGTCGAGGGAGAGATGCAGAAGAAAAAGAAGAAGGGCAAGGGCGGCAAGACGAAGACGGTCACAAAGCAAGAGACGGGAACACGGAGCGGGACAGAATCGGCGGCACATAAGAAAAAGCAGAGGGTTAAACGTGAGGGAAAGAGAGAGACTGAGAGAGAGAGAGAGAGAGAGAGAGAGGGGGAGAGAAAGAAAGAGAAAGAAAGGGATCGGTCGGTACTGCACTTTTAGCGGGGGCATTTATGGGTAGTACACCATTTTTTGCGTCTACCTGTTATAATAATTAGTGTTTTTTATAATGTAAGCATAAACTTCCACAAATTTATAGGTTTTTTGATAGCTTTTGTTAGCTATAAACCAAGTGAATGGCTGTAAAAATGGATTACATTTTGCTCGATGACCGTATAGAATTAATGGGAAAAATTGGTCCCCCCAGCTAACAGTCCAGTACCGAAAAAATGCATGTTTCAGCATCGGGCCGCTCTGGTGCTGCGAAGCCGCAGTCTCGCGAGAAGAAGACGACGACCGAGGCGCAGGCGACCAAGACGAGGGACAAGGATACCAAATCGCAAGATGGAGGAACCAAGACCGTCGGTGGCGGCGGCCATTCGGGTGGCCATTCCGGCACATTCAAGATCCACATGGCAAGGGCCGGGGTAAGTGGATTGTCGGTACTGGACTGTTAGTGGGGGGGCGAACATATACGTGCGCGGTAGAAAGCTATACAAATACAATACCAAGACGTTTTTGATAGCATTCTAAACAGATGTGATATCTAAACTTACAAAACACCTAAAAAAATTGAAAAAATGTGCGAAGTAGTTTTTTAATTAGCTTTTTTCAGCCTGAAACGGTGGTCTCGGGGCGCCAGAAGCGCGGCAAGTCGCCGCCGCCAAAACCTACTGTAGGCTTCACTTGACTTAGGTTGCTAGTTTCTTGTAGTCTCAAAAACCTGCGGCATCGGGCGCGAAGCCCGCCCCGAAGAAGCCGGCGGAGAAGAGCGGCAAGACGGAGAAGACACAGATGTCGATCGGGCCGAAGGTAGGGGAGAGAGAGCGAGAGAGAAAGAGGGAGAGAGAGAGAGAGCGGGAGAGAGAGTGTGAGAGAGTGAGCGAGAGAGTGAGAGAGAGAGAGCGAGAGGGAGAGAGTGAGCGAGAGAGTGAGGTAGTGAGAAAGTGAGTTCGATGGTGAGAGTGAGCGAGAGGGTGAGAGAGAGAGAGAGGGCGAGAGAGAGAGCGCGAGAGAGTGAGAGCGCGAGAGAGAACGATAGAAGCGCTTTCATTCGCTAAACTTGATTTTTCCAGGAAACTGAGGCTCCAAAAGAAGCGCCAGCTACCCCGGCCGACTCGCCGAAGCCGCCGTCAAGCGGCCAGGGCAAACCTGCCCCCCTCGTCGACCACGACCAGCAGACCCAAGCGATGACCGTCGTCCCGAAGAAGCCGGCGGCTTAGATCCAATTCGAGAGCCAAGATTTTTGCCTGACTCGCCCCTTTAAATCTCGCTTCTTTCTTTTGCCGGCCCTGTCACTAGATAAACCTTTGCATCTAGAGGCTTGAAAGAGAAGCCGTCCTTCTCGAAATTCCTCTACGCATTTTCTTTTTCTCCATATTGAAGTCGCTTGTGATACGATAAATGATGTCTCCGGTCGAATAAATGTTTTTGCGCCAATGTTATTCCTGTTTTTCTGACATTTGACAGATTTTCCGGTGATTTTATTGCAGAGAAACATCGAGGTGTGTCTATTAGTGCGTAATTTCATGGGTTGAATTGTCTGCTTTTTATCTACGTATGTGACTATAAAACTCGTGGTAAGATAAAAAGGTATAAAAATCAAGAATTCACTTGAAAACATCATAAACGACGACCCCTGATGGGGAAAATCCGGATTTTTACCCTCTCAAAATCCTTGGTAGTCATCTAGGCACCC